GTCAGCAGTCCAGTATCCAAAGCAATGAATGAAAAACTATTGCCAAAACCACATTTCTAAAAGAATGAAACTATCATCAGAAAGCAATAACCAATCAAAATTAAGCTTGTTAATATATTTTTCGTCATGTGTTTGTAGCAGTCTGTTCTGCCGGCCCTCCTGCAGAGTGGGCGCAGCAGCATTAGATCGCTTCTGCAAGAAGGACAATAATGCTGTGAGGCAAATTTTATAGCCGTAGGGTCAACAGTCCTCTTTTGCAGAGTAAAAGTAAAAGTATTATCCACCTGCTATCTATAATAATTTATTTTTACTCGCAACAAGCGTTCTCATTTAACCACTTAACTGTTTCATTTTCCTGCTATAGTGTGACCAAAAATAAGCATATCTTTATATATATAAGCGGCTAAAGTGTGTGTTGCTGATAGTTTATTGTTGCCACTCGGAAAAATGAGCGCGGAAATTAACGTATCCGCGGTTTTTAATTAATATCTCAACTGATTAAAGTCGTACTAAGATGAGAACGGTAATCGATGGATTCGGAGAATTTTTTGGAATCCGAGGATACGCATCTCGAATTTTAACTCGGTGCTGTTCCGTAGATATTCGAGAAAAAAGAATTTGGCACATAGCCAAATCCCTCTAATAGGGAAAACCCAAGAAAGAAAGTGGAAAATGTCACTTCACCCCATATATACATGCAGCTTAAGTATCTGTCTGTCGCCGATAGACTAGCCAACGGGGTGAAGTTGCCACGGCACAGGGTTGCCGTTTCAATTGAGACGTAGACAATTTCATGTAAAACTTGCCTTTGCTATGAACATCCATAAGTCTCAGGGCCAAACGCTTAAGTATGTTAGCATCTTTTTACCTGAGCCTGCATTTGGACACAGTCAACTTTATGTTGCCTGTTCAAGCGTTCGTGAAAGAACGGACGTAAAATTAAAAATATTGGATGGGTTCTCTGCAAGGCGAACTTAAAAATGATATAAAGATTTACACAAGAAATGTTGTGTACAAAGAGATCTTTGACATGTGAATTAACATTTCATTATTTAAATCACCTTTATCGATTGAGCTAGCAGTGGGCTCTTAAGAAATGTACCGCCATTGGTTTCCTTCATTGTACTCTAAGCAATTAAGCAAGTAGAAAGGGAAAACCCACAGGGGCAGTAAGCAAACGGGCGTCCTCGCCGCCTGCCCTGAGTAATTCAGCTTAAATTAGCAGACACCTTTGCACAAATCATTTTAATTACAATTTATAATATCTAGAACAGCGGTCATTTCGTATGACCGCCGGGCTTTCTAGTGTTTTATAAACAATTTTGTATTCTAATTGATTAGATGAATTCAAAGCAGTAGTGAAAACAAGTATTGTATTTATTAATTTAAGATGATCTTTAATTATTGCGAAATTAAGGCATTTTAACTTAAAGTTGGCTTTTTTCTCACGAAACTGGGGAACTGGAAAGAACACTTTATAATAGATAAATGTGAAAGAAGTGAATTCACTGTGAAAGAAAATCGCGGCGGTGGTGGAGGAAGATTACTAGTATCCATTTCTTAAAAGTTCCGAACCTTAGATTATCTGAACTTTCCTTTTCCATAACTAGAGAATTCCGATAAAGAACTTTCAGGACTACCAGAATCATTTATAGAAAATTCAGATTCGCTATCAGATCCAATATTAAAATTATTTTATGATCCATTCATCATCACCCATCTTTCTTTTATTTCGTGACAAACTGACAAATAATTCTATTCGCAAAGCCTAGTACACTGAACACATGCAAACAAACTCGTTGAATTTCTTCACGTAATGAAAAGCGGTAAAACCTATCCTTGAACTAATTTTGCAATCCAGTCTATCCTGGACTAATAGAGACATCTATTAGAAACACTGCAAAGTAAAAAATGTGAAAAAGCCGGGAAAATCAGTGGACTGATGTGAGAAAATACACTGCCCGAGCGGTGTACGGGCAAATAAAAAAGTTCCTTTCCGCGGCACCCGAAAAGCGTTCGGGTAAATTAATTAAGAGGTTAATGCCATAACGTTTGTTTTTATTTTCTATACTTGCACGTTGTAGGGTTCCTAACTTCTTGTCTAAGATGAAACGCTGAGGAATCTAGTGACTTAAGCTGAGTTCAAACAACTAAGACGTAGACTCGAGAAGGGATAAAATGCCTTTGTATTCGCTCAAATCAGAATAATAGTACACTCTAAATTCGAAAGAGTTGTATCCGACTCCAAAAGAGTGACATCTCACCTCCCTCTAATGCCAAAATGGCACCAACCTCAAAAGAGCGACTTTTCACTCTAATAAAAAGTGGTTCCTTCTCACACAAAAAAAGGAGTGACTCTTTTTTCGTTCACTTTTGCCGATAGCGAGATACCGCCCGATATTCAGGTGAAACCACACACATTACAAGGAGTCATAATAGTCTGCTCACTCCTTGATGGTGCGATTTTTATATAATTATTTTACATTTGTTTTATTGGCAAACTGAAAATTGGTATTTGCTATGTAAAATTTATGGCTGAGGCAAAGTTTTAGATTTCTGGTTAATATTATCTTGAAAAAATGTTTTACACTACTTTTTAACATGCTATATTGTGACTTTAAATATCTGCTGTTTTAGATTTGCTACCTATGTACTTACAAAAACATTTATTGGTCATGAAGACGATTATGAATCAAAGTAGACCATCACTGAAATAAAAATCATTGTTTTAGGATAATCATATCTTCTTTATTTGGACATATAGTTTTTCTTTCCAAATCTAGCGAAATATATATATATATCAAAATATTACATCCACATTAAAATATTGGAAATTCGGTGTCATGTTACAATATTTAACATTCTGATGAAATAACACTATCACTTTCTCACAGTACTTCTGATATGAAATTACTTTAAATTCACAGAATATATTTTATTTTACAGAAACATGGTTCTTGCCTTTATGTATACTAAGCAATAAAAAAGCAATATTAAAATCAAAGCAACTTAAAAAACTGGAATAGCAAGATATTCACACTTAAAGCTTGGTATTTGAATAAAAAAGGTTTTTTCAGGTACTTAAATCTTTGAATAAATATTTCAGAAATTTTCAAAATTTGGTTTGAGAAATCAAAAAATGCTTAGTTTCATAAAAGAAATTCAAAAAATTATTTTAGATGAATCATATATGTATAGTGATATATATTCTAAATTTTGTATACATATTTTAATTTTAAAAAACAAATTATGTTTATTCACAAGATTAGAACACATAATCATGTAAATTGTAAGCTAAATTTTAAATTAAATAATCGCAATATTTGGAAATGTAATTTATCAAAAATACTTCTTGAAAAATTTTATAATAATGAAAATTTGAATGTGTTAAAACAGCTGATCATGTATATATGTCTCAGTAAACCTGTATTATATTCTGATAGATTCAACTTCTTTAAATGCTACTTATAAGTGAATATATTAATACAATTTGTGAATTGATATTACTAGTACTTTGTCGACTTGAGCATAATATGCATAAAAATATCGAATAATAAATTTTAATATACATTGAAATAAGAAAAAAATGTGAATTTAATTTCCCTAAATTATTCAGCTTTATTTGCAATGTATGAGATTCAGAAAATTAGTAACCATAAAATACTCTCATGCTATTGTTTTTAACTTCATATACTGCAAAAGAATTGTTTCTATTTCTTATTACAAAATCATTAAGAACTTAAAATTAATTAACCCCAAATTATGAATAAAGCTTATCTTCAGTTAGCTTACAACACTTTTTACTTTTGAGAAGTTATATGCATACAAATTCCTATACATTAATCATTATAGGTGAATAATTGTTTACATATACTTTTAGACTAAACTTATTTTTATATATGTTAATTCCAATTCGAAGTCTCATGTGGAAAGAATAAAGTAAAAGTGAAATAATATGGATTAGCTCACATGTGTAAGATAAACATTCATGTTTCATAATTCTGCTGAAAATTAATATGTACTTTATTGATTGGTTAAATATGAGTAGAAATCATTAATCTGCAGAATTATAATAATTTTTCCATGAACAAAGTAAGTAATTTAAAAATAAATGAAAACAAGCAATGCATGAAAAACTCTTTATTAAGAAACATATTATACATACATAAATTTTTACTCAATAATAATAATATAATAAAAATATTAAAAATGCAATAAATTTTTACTCAACAGCTATGTTGCTCAAACATGTATTTAACGAGTCCACACATGCTCTAGGAGCGCTTATATTATAAAAAAAGCTTGCCATAAAATAGTAAAAATTTGTTAATACATGTGCATATTGCACACTAAATAAAAAATGGGTTTTAAATAAAATGTCAAATGCCTTCATGGCGTGATTTGGGCGTGCTATTAACTTGTTATCTGCTTTAATATAAAATGAATTTGAAATGCACACTAGAATCGGTTGCTTATTCTGCCCTGGTTCAAGAGACTCCATGTCTTCTATTCCCTGAAAATAAATTTCTTCATTAAGAATACATCCATACCTATGAGGGCAAGTCAAATACCAATTATCCATATTAGAAAGTTTATCTTTCCAATTAAAAAATATTGCCAGAAAATTTTTTTCTTCATACAAAAATACTACTCAAGTAATTTTATGCACATAGAGGCCTTTTGCTTTTAGTTTCTGTAAAAGTGCAGTATCAAAACATATAGGAATATTTAAGTATTATATTGATGCAAATATAGAATAGGATAGTAATGCATACTGCTATTTGTGCATTGCTTCTTCATGAAAAGTGTAATAAATAATGTAAAAAGAACAAAGAATATGGAGAATTAGTCTGGCTTATTCTTATGAAACCAAATATCATTTCTTCATATTAAACTATGATGCTTGTTCTTGATTTCATAATTGCCCTAGTCTGACTGGAATTACTTTTTGAAATTCAAGCAATTTCTCCAATCACTTTACAAGTAAAAAAAAACTATGTTCACTATATGATACATGCATAGAAATGATTACTGTCATGCTTTAGATGATACAAAGACATCACACATAATACAAACCTTCTTATTCTCTCGAAATATTTGCTAGTATGTAGGTGACATTCAAATCAATGCCATTTCAATTCTACAAAAATTAGCTAAATGACGATGCATCATCTGTGGGTACAACAGTTGAAAGCAGCTTGAGAACATGAATTTTAGCCACGTGAGGCCAAATACATTCACTGTTGTAAAATGGCTCGTTTAAATATGATCTGCCCTCTTAAAATGAAAGTGCAAAACATACAAAACTCATAAATACTTACATTAGCAAATATTAGAAGTGCAGAATTTGGAATGTTTTTTTTTTTTTTTTTTTTTGTAAATAACAGCCTGATGCCAAAATACTTGTTTTGCCTTTACTCTACAGAAATAAAAATAAAAGTATATATATATAAAAGACATAAACTGGATAACAATTGCATGTGAAATGTAATTATTAATTGAAGCTACATAAATATCACACATGAACCTTTCAAGAAAGAAAATGTAGCAAAGTTCAAAGGATATGCAGCTCAATTCACTTACATATAGTATCAATAGCTTATTTGCATACACATACACTACAAACTAAAAATATTATCCTATTAAAAGAATTTTAGCTAAGCATATGAAATTATTTTTTATGCATAGACTTATGCCAAGTATTTACTCATTAATAATGAATGAGACCTTTTTTTTACCTTTTTCCCTCTTCCTTTACCATAATTTGGGCTGGGCAAAAGTTCTGGGAGCAAAACTAATGCTTTTAGATCATCTACATATATGAAAAAAATACACAGACTTTTATTACATAAGGATTACAAAAATATCATTAAAAAGGCCTTTGGTACTAGAGGTACATGGATTTACAGCTTACTTTTACAAGCCAGAAGAAAAAAAACTTTATAAGCCATTTAAGAATGACCAATGCAAGTAATAGATAAAAAATTACTTTTTAGGTAATTAAAACAGTAAACGTAAAAAAGTTTTAAAGTATTATATGATTTATAATCCTAGTTAAATTTTTAAAGATCTTTACCACTGAAATCAGCAATACTTGGTACCAGAAGATCAGGCCGTTTTGTTTTGATTCAGCATATCTCAAAATTCTTGGGACATAAAAAGATGAAAACTTTTCCAAGAAAGTGTCTGAATTGGGATGCATGCGTAAAAATTCTGCATCAATCTGCAAACACAACATAATTTCCAGTAAGTTTATACAAAAATCAAAAATAGGTTATCTAGTACATATAGTCATAAAAATGTTGATTTTAAAAACTGAAGGCATGTGTCTGTTAATGGTTCAGTTTCTTAAACCAAGCATATCCTGAATGAAAATTATTACAAGAACTTATGTGTTTTAACATAATGCTGAAAAATGATTTTGAACTGAAACTTCTTTGAATTGATTATTGCTGAAACTTTGATTTTAATTTCCTGGCTCGACACATTTTAAAGATCACCAATATACACTATGCGTATATGTAAATTTAAAGTGCAATTACTAACTGAAAATTAATTAGCTAAATTTCTTACCATATCACCTCTATAATCTTGTAGCCTGGGATATCTCTCTAAAACATCTGTTATGGTCATGCCTGAATCTCTTATTTCAGTTTGTCTGTCAGCCATTGTTTCAGACAATATATCTGAAATCGCCTGCTGTCTATTGGGTTTCTATGGGATTTTTAAATTTCATCCACATTATCTATAACAAAAAATTTATATGCACTAATTTTCAAACATTTTCTTTAAGTATAGATGAAATATTTATAACATAGAAATATTTTAAAATGTTATGAATATGAATTTTACGAAAGCTGAAAAAAACCTTTTCTTCTAAATCCTCTTTAGTCAAACGTTCTGTTTCAAGAGATGGTTCTATTCTGCAGATTTTTGAAGTTTTGGCTAATCCTTTTTTTTCTTTGATGGACTTCCTAAGCGTTTTCAGGCCTATTCTATAAAGCTTATTCCTGTGGTCTTATCATAGAAGCTTTCCTGCACATAAATTAATACACATCACATAACTAGATAACATGTTTTAAAGTAATTTTTTGAAAATTAAAGAACACTTACATGCCCATGTGGTGGGAATCTTTTTGATTTTAACAATGGAAATGCATCTACTAATGCCTCTGCAGTACGTTCCTTCCATTCTGAGGATGGGTAGCTAAAAAAAAAAAAATAATTTAATGGAAAATTCTTGAAATGAAATTCATATAAAATAAAATATTTTCTTAATTTTCAGAACGTATCTATACCTTCTAGACTTAAATCAATGAAAATATATTCAAGTTCACTAAAAAAAACTTACACAGTTCCACATAAGTTTACTAATTTTGAACAGACTATCCTAACTAGCAGCTGCCTGTCTTCAGTCTTGTAGGAACCCCTATCCAAGTTTGTCACAGAGCTGTTTGCCTTGTGGGTGACTGCTGACCCACTTTCTGATATCAAAAGAATCCTGAAAAAATCCTGAAAAAAATTGAAAATTGTAATAACCGACTAATAAATCACAACGTGTTCTTTTACATAATTAAAATTAAAAGACAACTTTTATTACCTTGTTTTGAAATACACTGGTTATATATTTTGGATATGTCTAAAGACACCTCTTTTCTTTGTATATTCTGTGGAGAAATGGCACTTGCATCTTGACAGACCTTTTCAGTGCATTTTTCATCTGATGGTATTGAAGAAGCAACCGCTTGAACTGATGGGCACTAAAAAGAAAATGACTTTTCAGATAATAATATAAAATTATCCTTCATTGTTATTCCATTATTGAAATTATATTGTTACCCTTATTCTATTCACAATTTGCATAATATGCTTTCTGGGCCCTAATTTTATGTTCATTTCTTTCAAGTCATCTTCTGTGATATCAGGAAACGTCAACCCAATGACGCCTTCTTCTGTAAGAAATATATAGTATAACATTCTTCCTAAATTTTAATGACAACTAAATATCAATCAGTGCAATATAGCGCAGAATGACAGACAAGGTGAAAGAACAGCAAATTCAAAACTATAAGGGGACAAAATTACTTAGAAAAAAAACAGGAAAGAAAATCTTTAAAAAATTATTGAATAACTGTTTCATTTATATAAAATTTTACTAATTCTTATCTTTAAATATTAAAAACTTGAAATTAATTCTGTGTAATAAACAATTTCAATAGATTTAACAGTGGTTATATATGATATTAATTTTATCTCATAAATATTATGATTTATTTACATTACAAAATCACAGATAAATCAAATGATATGTTAAATGGAACTTCAAAATTTTGAGTCATAACTAAATTTTCTTAAGAGCGGAATTATTAGATATTTATATGTATATTTAAAAGTATTAAGACAGATTATATTCCCAAAAACGTGTCTAGTAAATTAACAAGGTATTTTTAATTAATTTGGTTAATTACCAGCATCAATAAATAATTTTTGTTACTTTCGCTGTGCGCTCAATTGATAATAATTATTTTATCGATTCATTATGTCCATTTACAAATTATGACATTAAAAGTACGTATAATGAAAATTATATGTGCTTGTAATGCATTTGATAAGATAAACATTCTCTTAATATGGTTTCTAGTTTAAGAAGTTCCTACCCTTAGTCTTTAAAGAAAATCTATAAAACTACCTTTCTTAACTTTAAGTAATAAAAGTTATAAATGAGCAACCTTAGCTGTTTAAGATTTGTTTCATTTAAAAAAAAAAAAAAAAAAAAAAGGGGGGGATGAAATTTTTAAATTTCCAACCAACCTGTTCCCGAGATTTAAACCTCACAGGATTTCACCGAACTACAGTGATTTTACCGCGCGGCCGCTGGTGGGTTCGTGGCTAATCGGGAATAGTTTCAACAGTAATGTTAAGTAGAAAGAAAATTATTAAGCTTATAGGCAGGCAAAAAACGCATCATAATATTTATTGCATATAAATGTATATTAGGAGAGAAGAAGTATGACATTAGAATGTGTGTGTGCTTATTGCAAAGCCTCAAGGACTATCTGTGTAAGGGGAAGGATGCCTTCGTGGAGGTCTTTCTAAGGGAAATTGGTTCGTATACATGTTGCACATGGGAAGGGGAAAACAATGAAAACGCCCATGCAGCTAGTCCCTTCACGTGATTCGAACCCAGGACCCAAACTACCAGATTACAGCGACTGTACTGTTGTTCGTCCGCTGGTGGTCAATATTTAGGAGATGTGCATTAATGCTCGGAGAAAAAGCATGATATTAAGCATTTATAAATAAAAAATTAGCCTGTGTGAAACATTATATTTAGCGCATATAAATTTAAATGAACATTAAAAAACATAATATTAAGCATACGTAAGTAAAAATTACATAAGAGTAAATTACATAAAATAAATGTTAGTAACTGAAATCAATTTAGCCTTTCCCCATTTTCTCAAAATTGGCCCCAAAACTGTAACATTAAGAAACTTTTTGGCAACCCATTACCTTAGAAGAACACATTCTTTAATCAGAATTCTAAAATATCTTTGATTGTATCTTAACCGTTGTATTTCATTTCATGCCGAAACAAGAACTCGAGTATGCAGTTTTCTAAATTTTCTTTGCAAACACTTTCAAATCACTTTTAGAAAACATAGTATGGAAATCAGACAAAATAATAATAAATTGAGAAAAAAATGACACATGCAAATAAATTTTGAACATCAGTGAAAGAAACCGAGGAGACCATATGAGCTACACCTACACTATCGAGAATAATAATACATTTGCAAAAATATAAGTGTTAGAATGCTGATATGACACAGGTAGTGCTAGTGTTTATACTTCGGAAACATTCAGATTTGCAACAGTAAGTGAATTTTATTTTTACAAACTATAAGCAGAATTTATAAAAAAAGAAAGTTAAAAATCAATTAAAAACTGCTATAAGCTGAAAACGATATCACTTCAACGGAGAATTCAGTAAAGTATACGCTTTTTATTTCTTGCAATTCTAACAAATAATTTGTGTTATGAAAAATCAAAACTCTATAGTATGGATTTTTTTTCCCCACCGCTGTTCTTCCTACTCGGATTAGGAATGCATGCAAAACTGAATTTGAATAATTAAAGTCGATAGTTGTGTAAATTGTTTAAGAAGTGTTTACAAAAAGTACCATCCATATATATAGCTTTTATTGTGTTAACAGTACGTAATAAATAAAACGAAGTTACAGCATTACACTCTTAAAGCAAATTTACCTAAAAAAAGAGCCAACTAAAACTCCTTTTCATTACATCCTTCAATTTTTACACATAAATCTAAAATATAAGACTATAATTTATGATAAGTAAGATAGTTCTATTAAGAAATAATTGTATATATATTTTAAAACTAAACTTACTTTTGGCAGAGGAGCTGCGTTCATTGTTACGATGTAGACAACTGTCCTCACTTAAAATAGCGCCTCAGCAAAACTGCATGGTCACTCTGCGAGGGTAGGGGCACGACCGGAAGTCGTCCTTGCCCCTTAACTCACTCCCTTCTCCAAGGTCATGATTGCAAGTGGAAAAATATGTTCTGTTACCAAAACAGTAAACTTGCCTTGTTTAACACGAAACGGAGCGAAAATTGCTGTCACGCTTCAAATCTCACTCTGAGAAATTTAGAGTGTAGGTCCCTTCTCGGGCTTATAAGAATGCCTCTGATCGGGCTTTAACTCAGAATCAGAAAATAAGAAACTAAATTACTAAAATTAACCAAACGAGACATAGTCGAAGCTAGACACAATTATCTAATGTAGTTGACCTTTAAATTAAACTAGCCCGCGAATATCAACAAGCACGTATAATATACGGCCTAGAGTAATAGCTTCAAGAGTGATTTAGCGAGAAGGCAAACCCGCTCCACTAAGGACTCCCAGCACTCTCTATCGAAGTTAGCTGAACCTTCCTTAAATACTTCTTCTAACTCATTTGCATTCAACGCGATCCTAAAACCTCATTCTGGTAGGAAGTTGTAAGTGGAAACAAGAACTGATAGGAAAGTCTGTCAAAATTAAAATAATTATTATAAAATTAAAATAGACCTTACAACGTTGTATCCATTCTATGACTATAATATATAATGCAGGTACGTCAAACACTCCCGTTGACCCTATTAGTTCCATACGTTTTAACCAAGACTCCGCTTTGGTAGAAGGAGAACACCATATTCTTCTATTCCTGCCTCCAGAGTGCTCTTCTGCATTAATTTATTTAACACCAAGACTGGTCTTTTATGACTCATGAAAAGGCATGCACCCTCGTTTTGTCACATAGCAAAAAGTTACAAATTTTATTTAGAAAACAGCTTTTAGCACTAACGAGGCAAGCCCTTTTTCTTAGTTCATGACCTTTCATCAATTATTCGGTTATATGGTTCGCCATTTAGTAGGTATGGAACCTTCGTACTGTCGTTAATGGTCAGATCATTCAGCTCAAATTTATAAATTAGCTCATAATGGAGTTTCGTGGACGAGATGCTAATTTAATCCAGTGGACCCCATTATCAGTGAAAACGTTTAAAAAGTGTCTCTGACATGTTAAAAGATACTGCTATAAAACGTCAGGGTAGCTGTTCTCAGACTTATTTTTCTCCGTTCAGGGAGGCTGCTGTAAGATTTACGAATAACTTGGTGTTGTTTTTGCAAAGCTGTTATTAAGTTATTTCATTTATTACTTCGTAAATTGCCGCTCAGAGGGTATAGTGGTTAGGAAAGCCGACTGCGATACCTAAGGGCCCGGGTTCAAACCCCGGAGAAGGCATGGATATAAATTATCTGCCCCCTCATAGGAGGTAACTGTGGCCTTTTGTTACGTGCCTCCATAATAAAATGACAACCATTTTTGACTTTAGTAATGGCGAAAGCCTAAAAATGGCTAATGGTCACCGAAAAAAAATTTCGGAATTTATATTAAATTAGTGGGATGCAGCCAAATCAAAATTTATAAGTTCTATGTACACCTGAAAAGAAAATATATAAAAACATTAAAATATGAATGAAATCATTTCAGTCTTTTCAAGCAACAACCATTCGTAAATAAGTTTTGTTGCCAAACCAGGAAACAAAAACTTTTTACACTTCGGGTTGAAACGTATACGTATGACGTCGTGATTTAAATTTAATGTAATTATATAACAACTCTTTTTCAATATCAAGAAAATATTTAATGTGGCAGTAACATATCGTTTCAGTATATCCTAACCTGAAGCAAAAAATTTGCCAACAGCAGCTATTTATTAATGAAACGGTTTTCGACATATAATGACGATGCATGCAATCGCGCGCTTTCTTCAACGTCAGACTATTACCTTATATAATAATAATATATTTAATGTTTGTCAGTGATTTTTTTATTTCAGATTTTGTAAAAATTACAAATTTTTGATTGACAAACTTCACGATTTGAAAGCGAGCAGTGGCAACCCTCTACGAAATAAAGCACATTTTTATCTCCAGCGCGCGACACTCTTGCCACTCGGAAAAATAGTTGAGAAAATTAGCGGTTTCAGAGTTTTTAATTAATTTCTCGGCTAATTAAGATGGTAGAAGAAGCGAATAGTCGAAAAGGCTTCCCACATATTTTTCGAGCCCGGGGCCAACTCAACTCAACTCGAAACTCAACTCCCAGCCGTTTCGGAGGAGATGTTTCAAGCAAACAAACCGACACGGACAGGTTTCTAATTGTGTAGATTTTATTATTATGTACTGTGCATAATGTTACCAAGTATGAATAGCTTGATAACAACATGGATAACTTGATAATGAACCTTCTATGAAATAATACATTAATGATAATGCTAATAAACTATACTGTAATACAATACTGATAATGCAAACAAACTGTGCTATAGTACAAAAAAGATAATTCTAATCAAGCGATAAAAAAAGAAAAGAAATCTGAAAGCTTTCAGATTTTACTTTACACTCAAACGGGCGGTTTTTTTTTTTTTTTTTTAAATTTTTTTCAACGTTTTGTGTCTTACCTTTACTTATTAAATATCATATTCTTCGCACTTAAAACATTAAATTCAGTTCAACAGCAGTATCGCAAATAATTTTAAAATGAGCATATTTTTAGAATTTCGGATACAAGGTCTCGCGCGTTGGAGATAAAATTTTTTTTTCGTACAGTGTTGCCATTGCTCGCTTTGAAATTGTTGAGTTTGCTAATCAAAATGCATTCTGAGTAGCACACGTCCCCTTGTGTCTATTTCACGGGTTTTCTCTTCGCATTGTATAATAGTTTCGTTGTGAGAGCTGTTGTGTCAATCATTTCTAAACGATCCAAGTAATAGAGTAGTAAGATATACTTTAGTAATTTTGCGGGGGAGAGGAGTATCATAGGTACTGAAGAAAGAGTTAAGGGTACCTATAATTGTAGAGTCTAATTTAGGAGCATGCGAAATAAAAAAACTTTCGAATCGTTGATCTGAAGCAGGGGTTCCCAACCAAGAGTATATTCTAGAATATCTGTTAGACGGCGGACACCATTTACGTTTTCAAGTTGAATTTATACTTTGGTAGAGTTAATAATACATGCAACAAAAAAGATATCGGTCATATTTCGATTTGTGTTGGTATCTGTGATGAACGCATTTTTTTATTTCATGTAAAATGAGAAAACTTTCACATAGAATTTTATAGAAAACTAAAACATGTTTATTGTGATAGCACAGCAGCAGGCACGCGTTAAACGATCAGTGGGCACCTTGGTTGGAATTCCCTGCTTTAGAGAAAGACGCCTTTCATGAAGAAATTAATAAGCAAAGCAAATATGGGAAATATTAGAAATTCAAATTGCAGTAATAGCCGGCGAGAAAAAGTAATCATGAAACATAGAGCAACCACGGTACTTCATTCGCAAAGCTTTCTTAATCTAACAATATTTTTATTTTTTTATCTTAATTCAGATTCTAAGTTCCTCTTCTTTAGGATCTTTAGGATTTGTTGAATATTAATGAGTGCTTGCATAAAATTTGGTTCAAATATTTTTATTAGCTTTGCACTGTCGTAAACTGTTACAATAAAATATAGCTTTTCGCATATCCTTTAAAGGGGGCAAAATTCAGTCACCATTGCTTGCATTTTGAAAATTTTCTCTACAGTCCAAATTTGCTTTGAATTTTGGTAATGTTAATTAAATTTACGAAAGCTTGTAACTTGCGCTTTAACAGGGTGCACAATTTAAAGTAAAATTGGTCAAATAGGTTAGATTTGGCTAATATAAATTATTATATATTGTTGCGTGCGTACGGGTTCATGATAGATTGAATGCAAACAGAACTGATGATACCTTGATGAAACTTATTTAAAAAAAACTTCACAATTCTGGAACTTTCCACAAAAATATTCGCTCAGCTCTTCACAGCATCAGACAGCACAATCAGTAGTTACACTTCAAACTACTAAGAATGTTAAACAAAACGAGCCTCAAAGCGATTCTGAAGAGCGAAACTCACACCGAGATATATCAATATTCCGTACTATCCTTGAACTAAAGAACAGCTGAGAGCAGATTCTTTTTTTTTTTTTTTTCATATAGCTTTCACCTGGCCTCTGAGAAATCGCTAGTGAATTTCATTTCTCGGAATGACTAAAAGCAGATACGGTTAAAGTTACATCTAAAAGCAGGGTACGGTTACAGTTGCCTAACTGAATCAATTATAGATGTTAAATTACAATGCCCAATACAGTTACACAAGAAACGGGCCAAAATGCCGCTGTATGGTAGCCAATTTTGGCGACAGCGATTTTTGTCTAGATTGGTTGACAAAAAATAGTTACCAAAACCATCGCCATCTTGGCGATATCTCGCCAATTTAGTGAAATAGTCATTTAATCAGTGTTAAATAAGCTTCCCCTGCATTCGTTACGTTGCCGGCTAAAACTTCGCTTCTTCAGATTTTCATGTTACATTATACAAAAAAATAGTACCATTTTACATATAATTTTGTTAAAATTATTTACGCAAGTACAAAATTCGTAACGATATTTTTTTTTTTTTTTGCGAAAACAATTACTAAAATTAATATAGGAATAACTGCGAACTGAGCAGGCGTTTCGTCCAAGAAGTTTAATAAAAGCACTTTGATTTTATGATCAATAAACTTTTACTTGAAACAACGCTTATGAAGAGTTGTAGCCTAATATTAATATTAACATTCAGATTTTAAAGTAATAGAGAAAAAAAAATGTTGCATCTTGTATGAAGATTAATAAACTTGTAAGGATCCTAAGTTTCACTAACGTTTATTTTATTTTAAATCTTTACTATCACTTCTTATTTTCTACTTCCGGCCAGAATTAAAAGCTTTAACTTATTTATGCAAATTTGTCTTGCTAACGCCAAGTACTTAAGTGTGGCTTTTTGCCAAGCAAGAGAGAGGAAGGAGTTATTAGAAGCAGGCCGCTAGCCATAGTAGTTTTACTCGTTTGCTGGTTGCCTTCAAGGCCAGAGGTTTAATCCTCTTGATAA